ATCTCCTTTTACATTCATGTTGTATATTGTCAGGTATGAAGTGTTTTAACAGGTCTTAGTTTCTATAATATGTAATCAAAAATATACAGGAAACATGGTATGATCGTAGCTACACGAAAATAATAACACTTTTAAAACATCGTTTCTTAAACCACACACACACACACACACATCGTCTTTAAGTAGCACGCTTCTAACTTGACTTGTCCGATTACGTAAAGAAACAAAAAGTTTCACAATGCTTCGACTGTTTTTGTTCAAATTTCAAGTACATAAGTTAAACAAAATATATATGATGAGGTCGTTGATGCGAGCAAACAATTTATGTACATATTAATGAATATATAATCACACAAAGTGCAGTGAGCGTAAAAAAAGGCAGTCGTTTTCAACTCACGTACACACGTTCTTTTTAACGAATCATATTTGATAATGATATCACGATATAATCGCGTATTAAACGTTCGCTTGTACACTGAAAAATTTGTACCAAAGTGTTAGTGATCTTTATCACGAGTGTAATATAAAATATATTGGAATTATATTACAAGTAAATAACAACACAAAATGAATATATTACAGAAATGTTTTAACATAAACTAGCTGTCAGATCTTACGAAATCTTCAGTAGCGGAATCAAATCAATTTGTGTCTTATGTGAACCAATCAATCCAGAGATGTAGTATGTACAGTACGTTACACATTTTAACCGCTTCTCGACATAATACTTCGCGTGTTCTAAAGCATTATCGTTTGTGTCATCCGCTACATATATATTCTTACATATATACTTCCAGTTTGTATAAAAAGAAGTTTCTTTACTTTAATAATAACAGGTCTAACCAACCAACAGGTCTACCTGTTGGCTGTCCAACCACGCCAAAAGGAGGCTATACTTGCCGCAGCACTTGTAACTAAACCAACACTCTGATTCACTTGCATACTAGATGACTGTTGACTGTTGTTGATCATTGCACCAGGAATCGGTACAGTCATTTCAGGGCACGCGACGTTTGGAACCTAAAAAATCAAACTATGAAGCTTATGTTTCTTAAATTATTAAATTCTATATTATTTTTCAACAGATCGAAAGAAGGCTTACAGCTTCCCATTCCCAATTAATAGCATCTTCCTCTTCATCGGAAGCAGAATCGTCACTATTCTCTAAATCTGGAGCTAATTGACTCTGCAGTTGTGCTATAATATTTGGATCTACTTCAACTGGACCAACTCTGTATGTAAAAAGTCATTAGATAAATAACTACCAGTTACTAATCTCAAGAAAGTATAAACAGTATTTACCTTCCAAGATCACTGATTTCGGTATTGAGCAAGTGCATCAAGTTTTGCAATGTGTGAGTTGGATGTAAAACTGTAGTATCGGTATTTTGTGTAAAACATAAATGTAAAATATTGCTATTAAGCCTTGCTACTTTTCTCGCAAATTTTTGTTCTGACATCTCATTCCCACAAAATTCACTGAAAATATTTGTACATGAAGGCATACAATGAATGGTAAGTAAACATAATAGATTTCAAATAAATTTAACTTGAAAATGAAACATTATACACATACCTATAAGAAAGTTTATATGGTAGTCTTACATTAACATAGTAAGCAATAATATTAACCAATTGTGTAGCATAAGTTAAAGCAGCACTGATATTATAAGCTGGATTGTGCATTGCAGTTTCCTTATTTGCACCTGGTACTCCGTCTTTGTTTGCGGCCACTGAATTAATTAAGTTAATCTTTAAGTATTATCAAATGACACTATCCAACAAACTTTAACTCTCTGGTTGAATATTTAAATTTTATAACATTATAAAAATATATCTTGAAAACTGGAGATGAAGTCAAAACGACTTCTAGATCTAAATGCAAAATTGCCATTGGACAGTGTAATGTGATTTCATTTGGATAGTAGAAAATAATATACCCCATAGAGAATAAGCACTATAGTTGCCAGATCCTGGTAAAGTGGGTGCAACTATACAGTGTTGAACTTCTGAGGAATTGTTTGTATCACTGATCCATCTACCTCTGACATAAGTTGTACCAGAAGCATCTGCTAGTGCACAAGTTACAACATCTGCACTAGTATCTTCCTCACTGCTAGATAAACTAAAAACAATTGATATCTTACTTTCAAAATTTTCTAAAGAGAAATTATGTTCTTAATAAAAATAAGTGATCAAGTATCTAATTTTCAATTATATATTTAATTGATGTTAGACATAAATTATGGAGTTTATTACCTTCTGTTAGCTTGAACTATTGATATTGGAAAAATATACTGAATTAGCTGTTTTGCAGCAGTTCTTATCACTTTTTTTAGCTGTTGTCTTTTTCTATCTACTGCTTCTTTTTGTTTCTCCTGCTTTGCCCACAGTCCAGTAACATGTCTGTGCAATCTTTCTACTCGTTCTTCATGTTTGGGTAATCTAAGTGCTACCTGAGAGTTTACATCTTTGAGAACATTCAACCGCTGATTCCCTGCACATCATTAAGTCTTAATCAGTATGAAGATTTTTGAGAAATAATACAGTTACATTTAAGTTAAATTATACCTCGGTTTATACTTTGCTTTGTTTCATTCACCAGAGTTTGGATTAATCTTACTCTTTCTTTACAAATATTTATGTCACATATCTATAAATATCAAAAGTAATAGTTACAATAACAGTATACAAACTTTTAATATGTACGTAATACATGAAAATAACTTTAAAATACCAATTTATCCCTTTGTCTGTGTTTCTCAAGAGCTTTCATGCATTTCTCTTCTAACTGAACCTTTGCTGCTTTCAACCGCAGGAGTCGTAATTCTTTCTCAGAAAATCTGTCCAATAATTTGTCAGAATAAAATATGGTTGGCTCAGTATTAATACATCGATATTTTATAAATGCATTATTCAAGGGAACTGATTTTCAGAATAGTGAATTTTTGTGTCAAATAATCATTTACGTTCTCGTGAAAATGGAAATTGATACGCACTTTGTGTTCAAGAGAAATGTTCAAACGATACGGAATACTAGACGAGATCGCAATATACGTAAACAAACTAGCATTAATCACGTAAATCGCAAGCATATATATTTACCTTTCTGAGTAAACAGAAGTTGAATGAATAAAATCTCCATTCTGAATGCATTGTCGACAATAAAAAGTTCGGCGACTGTTATGGCAAAGTGGACACATTAATAAGTTTACGCTCAAACGGCTTGAGGTATCTTCCAACTCTGACGAAAGCTGGAAATCTGCAGGTGCTGTACAGGACCCATCAGAACTGCTTGTCGCCATAACCAAGAACAAGAACAATGGGTCTTCGTCTGTCTGTTGTCACTCATCAGCTGATCTGATATTTACTTGTATTCTCCCGCCACTCTGTTCACGATACCGTGTTTATCGCGTATCTTCACTTTCATATTTGTTGAGAGCCACATATAGGCGATCTCGTCTTACACAATTTTTCCTTCTAATTCGACGAGTAATTGTTGAATTATGGAAAAAACAAAATTAAATCTTAGCTTACGTATCTCATAGCTGCGCCGTGGCAGCAATTGTTTTGGAAAAATCCCGTTGCGCGTTGTGTGCGACGAGATAAGAGAATAAACAAAGATAGGGTATATAAATCTGAAGAAATGTGTATGTATAGATGTAGGTGAGAAGATTAAACGCTCAACAATGTTACATACATATATTTTAAGCATTTAGTTCGATTAAAAATACAGAAGATTTATTAAGTGCGGAAAATTGTCACATTTATCTTTGAATTTGCATGAAGCGTACGTGTGGCGCCAAGTTTGTTTTATTTTACTTTACTGCGTACTTTTACGATTTATGTTTTTGTAGATACGTATATTATATTATGAATATTTTAATGCATATATTTATATGCAAATATTTTAATGCATATATTTATATGCAAATATTTTATTGCATACAATAAAATTTCATGTGAAATTCTGCAGTCGCGCACTCTTTCTTATGTTCCCCGAAACACCGTGAGAGTAGCTAGTATTTTATCGTACCGTTCATTGACCGCTGATTTTGTAAATTAGAGGATAATTTTAAGATGATTTGTTGTCGAATATTTCAAATATTTAAAAGATATGTCCGCGCGAACAGGTTTTAAGCAGTTCTAGAAATCTTATTTTTGAAAGTACCCAGGGATTACTTTAAGAAAAATTACGAATTCTTTCATAACCTTCTAGGTTAGATCAAGAATGCATTATAGTGAAATACTTATCGATAAAAATTCCACCATTATTAAAAATATTACATTCTACGTGTACCTTATTCTAGATGCTGGTCCGTTACTTTTGCATATTATAATAAGTAGGAGAAATTAAAAACAATGACGTCGATTATAAAACTTCATGCTGTTTCTGGTGCTATGGACGAGTCTCCCCCTTGTTACATATTACAAGTTGATGAATTAAGAATCCTACTTGATTGCGGATGGGACGAGAATTTTGACCAAGAATTTATAAAGGAATTGAAACGGTAGGTCAATTGTTGTAAATCTGTTATTTTTCAATTACACACTTGTTACAGCAATACATTATTTCATAATTTTGTAGACATGTTCATCAGATAGATGCAGTACTGCTATCATATCCAGATCCATTGCATTTAGGTGCTTTACCATATTTAGTTGGGAAATGTGGTCTAAATTGTCCTATATATGCTACGATTCCTGTGTATAAAATGGGACAAATGTTTATGTATGATATGTATCAGGTATTATGAAAAAAAAGAAATTTATTGTAACTTAAAATCTAATTATGATAATGTATAATCTAATTTTGATTTGATTACAGTCTCGTCACAATATGGAAGATTTTGATCTTTTTACATTGGACGATGTAGATGCAGCCTTTGATAAAATTGTTCAATTAAAATATAATCAAAGTATATCAATGAAAGGAAAAGGATATGGAGTTACATTGACACCACTACCAGCTGGTCACATGATTGGAGGAACTATTTGGAAAATTGTAAAAATTGGAGAAGAAGATATAATATATGCTGTAGATTTCAATCACAAAAAAGAAAGGCACTTGAATGGCTGTGAATTAGAGAGGTTGCAGAGACCATCGTTATTGATAACAGATGCTTTTAATGCTACATATCAGCAAGCTAGGCGTAGAACCAGGGATGAAAAGCTGATGAGTATGTGAATGAAAATTGAATTCCTTTTGTTTTTGTATTTAATGATATTTTAGAATATTTGTTTTTTGTTTAATAGCAAACATTTTGCAAACTCTACGAGGTGGAGGAAATGTTTTAGTCAGTGTAGATACAGCTGGCCGCGTATTAGAATTAGCACATATGTTGGATCAACTCTGGCGTAATAAAGAATCTGGTTTACTTGCATATTCACTGGCTCTATTAAATAATGTTAGTTACAATGTTGTAGAATTTGCAAAGTCACAGATTGAATGGATGAGCGATAAATTGATGAGAAGCTTTGAGGGAGCTCGAAATAATCCATTCCAATTCAAGCATTTACAACTGTGTCACAGTATGGCAGAATTGAATCAAGTTCCTAGCCCAAAGGTCGGGGATACAATAATTAATAATGTTAACAATTCAATAAATATTATTACAGGAGAATTTTTATTCATATAAATTTCTTAGGTTGTACTTGCAAGCACTTCAGACATGGAATGTGGTTTCTCAAGAGAATTGTTCTTACAATGGTGTGGCAACTCTCAGAATAGTATTATATTAACTAGTAGAACTTCCCCAGGAACACTGGCAAGAGATTTAGTTGAAAAAGGAGGTAACCGAAATATTACATTGGAAGTGAGAAGAAGAATTAGACTAGAGGGCCTTGAATTGGAGGAATACCAAAGAAAAGAAAAATTGAAACAAGAACAATTAAAGCAGGAACAAATGTATGCAATGTTATGTTATTGTATTCTGAAAGCACAGTCATGTAAAATTACAATGCAATTATGAAGTTTATGTTACTATAATTTCTTTTAATGTAATTATAATAATTTTTCCATCAGGGAAACCGCCGATGTTAGTTCCGAATCGGAAGATGAAATAGAAGTAGGAAGTGGAAGAGGAAAGCATGATTTATTAGTAAAACAAGAAAGTAAACCTGGTTTCTTTAAGCAAAGTAAGAAGCAACATCCCATGTTTCCATTCGTGGAAGAAAAAATCAAGATAGATGAATATGGAGAAATTATAAGGTAATATTTGTATAAAATGTTAGGTATGGCAATTGTTTTCAAATAATTGATATTAATTATCGTAGACCTGAAGATTATAAAATCGCAGAAACCATGCCAGAAATAGATGATAATAAAGAAAACCTAGAAACAAAACAAGAAGATACTACACACCATCCAGAGGTAGCTACCGATATTCCCACCAAATGCATTCAAGTTACCCGTACAATGACAGTTAATGCATCTGTCACATACATAGACTTTGAAGGGAGATCAGATGGTGAATCACTACAGAAAATCCTAGCACAGTTAAGACCTCGGAGAGTTGTGTTAGTTCGGGGGGCTCCGAAGGATACAGAAATTCTGGCTCAACAAGCACAAAGTGCAGGAGCACGAGTATTTGTTCCAGGCAGAGGAGAAACATTGGATGCAACCACAGAAACGCATATTTATCAAGTAATGCAACTTAATTAAATACATTTACGTATACGAAAATTCTGTAGATATCTTATATCCATTATATATTCATTTAAATATGTTTCAGGTCCGTTTGACTGATGCTCTTGTGAGTGGTCTAAACTTCTCTAAAGGAAAGGGTGATTCAGAGGTAGCGTGGATTGATGCAATGATAACTGCTCGAGATCAAGTATGTCGAGATGCAGTTGCTGATACACAACAAGATGACACAATAGATCAAAATGATAAAATACTTACTTTAGAACCATTACCATTAAACGAGGTATGAATTTATTAAACTATATATTTCAGGTGTTCTCTTTCAAAACACAGATTATTATAAAATACTATATTGCATTTCACAGGTACCCGGACATCAAACAACGTTTATAAACGAGTTAAAATTATCTGACTTTAAGCAAATCTTAAATAAAAGTAATATTCCTTCTGAGTTCAGTGGAGGAGTTTTGTGGTGTTGCAATAATTCTATTGCCGTCAGAAGGGTTTGTATATAATGTGTAAATAATAATGTATTAGGAAGAGTCTGATTTAGTTTTTTCTTTTTAGCACGAGGCTGGCAAAGTAATTTTAGAAGGCTGCCTATCTGAAGAGTATTATAAAGTGCGCGAATTATTGTACGAACAATATGCAATTGTATAAATTGATAATTATAATTTTTGTACATGTGTCTTCCATGGTTTTCTTATTAATAATTTCCATCTTACATGTATGTCACTTTTGACGCATACACTTAGGTATGTACATACATATGTACGTACACTAAGAGTAAATTTTGAGAATAATTTTGTCACTTTTGAAAATTGGCGCGTAAAGAAATTAACCTAACACGGTCTGTTTGGTTATGAAACAGCAAACCTACTTTTTAATAAAGAATAGCAATATGCGAACAGTAATTATTAAAAAGATATCGAAATTCTAATATAACGTAGTAAGTGGTAATTCAGTGTGTTAGAAAATTAGCGATTTATTGTCAAATGTTACATGAAATTGTGACCAGATTGTTTTAATCCTAACAGTATGCAACTTGAAGAATAATAATTATTGCTTACGCCATGTTACAGGTACTTATAAATAAATAATCTATAATAGAAAATATGTTTATACAGAAGTTACGTTAAATTTTATAAATAATGTATTTTTTTCAGAATTACATTCATGTGTAATAGGTACACCAAAAACACATTACGTACATATAAATTGATGTATCCTGAATTAGAATAATCTTTAAAACATGCGAAAATATTACCAAGCAGCACTCGCAATCATTACAGTAGTGAGTCTAGTGTCTTTATTATTTTACAGACATGAGTACAATAAGTTAAGATATGTACTAGAAGTTTTCAATTTCTTTGGGAAACCGAATCAGAAAAATGTTGAAGCCAACTGTACAAGTAATGTGTCATTATTTAGTGCACTCAACATGAAATTTGACGAGCCTCTTCCCTCGTGGCAGAAATTAGAAAATGATTTATATATCTATTCCGCATATAACATTCATAATAAAGAAGTGCAAGTGATAGGCTTTGGATCATTAAATAGTATTCAAGACATACAATGTATAATATTTTTTCATAATGAAAACAAGCCAGTTTTAGGAAGCTTCAGATACATTCCAATTTATAATTCAAATGACACAAGAACTTATAAAAATTCAGATTATAATGGATATCATTTTTATTGTACATATGCTAAAAATAAAAAACCAGTAGGAATATCTTTGCTAACAAAGTCTAATCTAAATCTTAATGATACGCCCATGTTAGCAATTAAATCTCCATTACATAACTCAAATTATACTAATCTTGGAGTATGTGTAACTCCGCCATTAAAAAAACCAATGCATTTATCAGAGATGATAGCTTTTATAAATTTCCATGACATAATTGGTATAGATAATTTTATAATATACGATTTTGGTATCATGAATGATTTCAATGATCAGCTCAAGGAATTATCCAAATCTCAAAATCCATACTGGAAGTTTACATACACAGTTGTCCCATGGAACTTTCCTTTCTCTGGAATTAATCCAAATGTGATAAAAGATCTCATACAGGCAGATTGTTTATATCGTACATACAATAAAGTTATGTACACAATTACATTATCATGGGAAGAATATTTAGTTTTAAAGTATCATCATTCCATCGTTGATTTAATGGCAAATTTTAAGCAATTTAGTATGAAAGCTGATCGATACAGTATAAAGTCCTTCACGTTCTGTACTCAGCAAATCGACAATGCACTTACTAAAAATGCATCATTTGTAATATTTAAAAAGACTCAATATGATCCAAGCATTGCTGACAATCGATCTATTTATATATATAATACACATGAAGCATTTAAAAAAGATAACATTAATATTCGAAAAATTAGCACAGATTTGGTCATGGTAAATCGTTATAAATACTGTTTTGAAAAATATAATTCAGGTACAGGCA